CATTTGACTCCACCCATGATGCGTCAAAAGCTGTTTTCATTAGACTCCGCCCACGTTGCGTCACACGCAGTTTTTATTTGACTCCGCCCACGACGCATCACAAGCAGTTTTTTTTTGACTCCGCCCAGGACGCGTCACACGTAGTTTTCATTTGACTCCGCCCACAACAACGTTTCTGTTCCATCTATTATTTGTGCATGAAAAGAAGGTTGACATTTACGGAAGTAACTTTGGATGGAGCTGTGTACGGATTGATTGATTTTAACGTTTATTCTGAAATGGGAGCCAAAAGGATCGTCTATATCTGATATAAACAGGTCTAATGTAGTGAATAAAAAGTCTTGATCATTGTTCGTCCAGGTATTCATGTTATGTTTGTTCCATTTATTCTTCCTTTAAAAGCAAAAGAAGTGAAAAAACTTTTAAAATGTGCTAACAAATAAACCAAACAGCTCACCTTTCCCAGTGGCCACAGCATTTCTTTCAGCGCTCCATCTTGCTTCCATTTCTTTTCTTCAGGTAGCAGTGAAGTGCCGTCTTGTCCTGTGGGACAATGCTTCCCGTGTGTACATTCAGAGTCGTTAGCTCCTCCTTGCGCCGCCCCCTCACCTGCTCCACCTGGGCTCATTGCACTGTCGGCAGCTGTCAGTTGTTTGTCAGTTGCATCAATTTGATTTTCGGTTTCAGTTTCATCTCGATTTGGCACCAAATCCTCCGCAGAGCTCAGGGCAGGAGGCGCAGTTTCCCCCAAAGAGTGACAGGCAGTCGCCCCCGATTTGCTGACTGGGGATGTTTGAGCCGTTTCAAACTCACATTTGGAGTCGGATTCAGACAGAGTCAGAGCTTCGTCATTCTTTACTGCATGGGTTGGCTGAGTCTCTTTGTTTTCTGATTGCCTGCTTGAACCTTTTCGTTCTGCAGGTTTTCCGTCTAACTCAGGGTTGGGTCTTGGTTTCTTCTCAGGAAATCCTGCGTTTGAACTTGTTTTACAGTGTTGATCTCCTACATATCCACTTGGCTGTATGTCAAACGACTGCAGCTCCAAAACTACAGTGAACACTTCATCTTTGCTTCCATTGACTTGCCCATTTTGCTCATCTTGTTCTCTTGCACCTGCACTGAAAGCCTCTGATTCTGCAGCTTTTATGCAGGTTTCTGAAGGTGTTTGGTCCGACTCTGACTGGGCTGAATCTGTGAAAAATCTAGTTGCTTTTTCTGTGTTTTCAATCAGCTCCTTTTCCGTTTTTTCTTTCTCCATTTCTGGTTCAACTAAACATACTTCTGTTGAGACATCAGAATGGTCTTCTAAGGCATCAAGCCTCTCTGAATGTATCGGCGGAGGATCAGGCACGTTGTTGATCCCAGGAATGGTTGCTTCAGTCGATTCTTTAGGGGACGAGACAACCGGTAATTTGATTTTGTTGATTTTGTCTGAATAAGACGGGTCTAAAACTAAGGCTTCTTCAGTGTTTAGTGAGGCGGATATGATTGTTCCTGCAATATTTCCAGAAACTGTCATGTCCGTTGAGTCAACAGCAATCTGTTGGTTAGTTTCTCCTGATGTAGACGGCGGCTCCTTTGACCCGAAAACATCTGGACTTTCTGAACAAACGGCTGGAATATCGTCTAAAGCAGCTGTTGCACAAATAACAGGGATGTTTTCTGGATTCGGTTTATTGGCATCAGTTTCAAACTTCAATACTCCTGGTTGAGAACTGAGCAGTTTGGTTGGGACTTGTAAGGTTTCCCGGCCATCTTGGTGTCTGTCTGAGTTGGGTTCACAAACATCTCCGGCTTTTTCTTCACCTCCGTTTCGCATTTCTGTTAGCATTTAATTAACCTGTTAAACCCCCACAAAAAACAAAAATATTAATCAGTAGCTATGTGTGGAGTTTGTCTTTAAATTAAATAACATTTTAATTGTCCTCACATTAATCACTCCCTCCAGGATTTCATGATTGACTCTGTGATGTTGTTTGTAATAAAAATCACTAATTTCGTGGTGCTAATATATACATATTTGTGCAAAATTTTGTAATATATAAATATACAGAAATTAGAAGCTCACTGCACTGAACTGCATTGAAAACCTGGATTTTCCTCCAAATATTGATTCCTGAACTTTTCCTGAGTTAAAACATTAGTATTGTTATTTTCTTAGCATTATTTGAGGTTTGAAAGCTCTGCTTCTTTTCTTATTTTGACTTATATTTCTCATTTTCTGAAAATAAATACTACATTTTTGCTTGTAATTTCAGAGACATGTTGTCAGTAGTTCATAGAATAAAAGAACAATGTTCATTTTATTCAAACATAAAACTATCAAAAGTAAAATCAGAAAAACTGATCATTTTAAGTGGTCGGTTAAATTTTTTTAGAGTTGTATAAATATACATTTAGAAAGAAAAATTGTGTTGTTTTTTTAGTACAAAATTTGCCAAATTTTATTTGTTCTTATGGAGTCTCTTATATGTATATTTGTAAATTTATTCCAGATTTTTAAAAATGTATTTATCTCATTATTTAACTATAAAAAGTAAAATCAGAGAAACTGAGCATTTTTCCAGAACTGTTTAAATATTTTTAAGATATTTTTTGATATGTGTACTTATAAATTACTTTTCACTCGCCGTATCAATAACAGACGTCAAATAAAGTAGTGCAGCAGAAGTCGGAAATACTGCCTCCTGGAGGTGGGAGTTAGTCATATTTTTGAACATTTTTGCAGAAATTTTGCAATAAACTCACAATTATACATTAGCGTGAAACAATTTGTTGATTTTGCTTGGATTTGGTGGAATAGTGACCAAGTGGAGGGACTGACGATGTAATTTGGCAACATGCTGAGACAAAATGCTTTGATTTGATTGATAACATAACATTTAAGCACACAACTGTTATTCTGAAGGTCCAAAAAAAGCTACTGTGAGCCATTTTTGGCCCCCGGGCCATAAGTTAGACACTTTAATAAGAATATTCTCACCAGGCCTCGACTTTCCATCAAAACCTCTGAAGCGCTTTTCAGCAGAGTTTTCATCATTTCTTCACCCAGACAATTTACCAGAATGTTCTGCTGGGAAAGAACGTCGTAAAGTTTGTTTTGAAGCTGTAAACCTTCATCCAGAACCGCCTATGAGAGAGCAAAAATTTGCTTTAATTATATTTAGATTTGTTTTTTATTACTATGAAAACATCACTATCACTAAGAAGATAGCTCACTCCTGCTGGAATGAGCTGCATCCTGTTTTTTCTTTCTGATTTTTAACAAAACAATGAGCACCATACATAGACATTCAAGTCATACTTGAGACAGTACTTTGGAGAATAAACATAAACTAATAAATGACAAGACAAGAACCAAAAACAAAGCAAGATACATTCAAACAAAAATCCATCAATTTTTTCCATAAGTACATTGATATAAAGTAGATAACTAAAAAATAAACAAACAGAGGTAACAGAAAGGAAATAAAATATAAATTAAACAGAAAACAACTAAAATGGGGCACTTAAAGGGCTTGATGTATTCTGTGCTACTAAAATTGTTATAAGGCTTAGATAAAGGCTGTATGCCATTACAACTGGGAAGTAAGGGGAGCACCACTCATCGGGTCACATCGAGCATCAAAGACCTGACATGGTCCAGAAACGGTGACCAGATTCTTGAAAATGTGATTTCAGAGCCTTTGAGAGTATGCCTAATTTTTTCAGTTTCATGAATGAAAGGGCATCTTTTATCCAATGAGAATGTGAGGGTGGGAGAGGATTCTTCCAATGCATCAGTGGGATACGCCTAGCCAGTAGCGTGAGGAAGGTCAGCATGATGGGGAGGCAGTAACTGGTTTTTGGGGAGAACCCCAAATAAAGCAGCGAGTGGAGATGGCTGTACTGTGGTCGAGGTGATTACAGAAAGTGAGTCCAAAACAGATTTCCAAAATTGAAATAGGGAGGAACAGGTCCAAAACATGTGGCCGAGAGCGGCTGGGCCCAAACCAGACTTCACACAGCTTGAATCCACGTCCGGAAAGATTCGAGCCAGTTTGCTTTTGGACCAGTGTACTCAGTGGACGACTTTACACTGAACTATTCTATGTCGGGCACAAACTGATGAGGTGTGAATGCGTTCCAGAATAGTTTGCCACATTTCATTATCGATCTCTGCGTTAAGATCATCAGACCAAGTAGCCTGAAGATGGCCAAGCCCAGGAGTCATGTTGAATGTTGATATTGTACCCTTTGCAGTGGGACTAATTTCTAGCAGTTGATCAACCATATTGGGGGCAGGGATTATTGGAAAACCTGGGAAACGATGACGAATAAATATCTAACTTGTAGAAATCTCAAAAAGTGGACAGCTGGTAAGTTAAAATTTGAAGATAATTGAGCAAATGAGGCAGAAGTACCATCTAAGTATAGATCTTTCAGAGAAAAAAGCCCATGGCTTTTCCAACTGAAAAAGTTTTATCAATGAGTGAAGGTGGAAATAGAGGATTCGAGTTTAGTGGTGACAAAAGAGGTATTCTCTGGATCCCAAAATGTTGCATAATCTGAGCCCATATTCTAAGGCAGTTCTTAATTATATTGTTGGTGTAATTTATAGGAGATGTTGCAGGGGGAAAGCATAAAAGAGAGTACAAGGAAGCAGAGCTACTTGAGGCCTCTTCTGTTGGTAACCATTTGGGAGTCTCACAGTTCGCATTGCACCAAAATAACATTGTACGAATATTAACAGACCAATAATAGCATAAGAAATTTGGTGTGGCAAGCCCTCCCATTTCCTTACTTTTCTGTAGGATGCTCTTTCGTATTCTAGGAGGTTTTCTGTTTCATGTGAACTGAAAAACTGAAGCATCGAGCGTCCTAAAAAAATATATTTTGGGGGATAAATACTGGTAAACACTGGAAGAGGTACAAGAATTTCGGCAAAACATTCATCTTGATACAGCTGATCCTGCCTGCTAAAGAAAGTGGCAGCATGGACCAGTAAGTCCTGAGTCAGCTGGTCAAGTAAGGGAGAAGAAATAGCTTTAAAAAGTTGTGAATAATTACATGGATTTCCAGGTACTTAAATGCTTGCAGAGAGATCTTGAATGGTAAGCCAGTGTAGGCCGTAGCTGCATCATTAATTGGAAATAACTCACTTTTATTAAAGTTCAGTTATTTGTCCAAACTTTTCAAGCAGGTCTAATACTGGAGGCATTGAGGTCTCTGGGTCTGAGAGAAAGAGTAACAGGTCATCAGCATATAAAGAGACTTGATGGTTCAGACCACCTCTTGTGATGCCGTGCATTGGACTGGATCTAATGGCTGCAGCTAGAGGCTCTATAGCAATTGCAAACAAAAGAGGGGAGAGTGGACAGCCCTGTCGGGTTCCACGGCCAAGGTGAAAATATTCTGAGTGGTCATTGTTTGTGCGAACTCTGGCTAACGGAGAAGTATATAACAGTTTGATCCAGGAAACAAAGGAACAGCCAAAACATCGTAAGGTGTAAAACAAATAGGACCACTCTACTCGATCAAAAGCTTTTTCGGCATCCATTGAGATAATCACTTCTGGGGTATCAGCTGATGTAGGTGAATATATTATATTTAGCAACCGCCTAATATTATGAAAGGAGTGTCTGTTTTTAATAAAGCCTGTCTGGTCAGGGTTGATGATTTTGGTCATGATTACCTCCAGACGTTTTGCCAACATTTTTGCCAAAATCTTGACATCTGTACAGAGCAATGAAATAGTTGTTGCAGACTCGTGGATCTTTATCTTTCTTTAGGATAAGGGAGATAGTAGCTTGTCGCATTGTGAGAGGGAGAACACCAAATTCATATGCTTCTTTAAGCATGTTAAGCAGAAGGGGAGATAGTTTTTCTGAAAAGACCTTACAGGATTCTGATGGAAAACCATCAGATCCAGGGCATTTTCCACTCTGCATTGATAATATAGCACTCTTGACCTCAGCGAGCGGAAAGGGCTAGTCTAAGTCAGAGGCCGTTTCAGGATCAATTGTAGGGATAGAAAATTATCAAAGAAACTTTCATAATGAGCTTGATCGGGTGAACACTCTGAAGTCTCTAAACTGATTGTTGATAGTTTGTGGATTAATAGAGGTCCCATTGGAGATGTGAATTTCAGCGATGTGCTGGTTTGAAGCTCTCTGCCGAATCTGATGAGCAAGAATTTTGCTGGGCTTGTCACCAAACTCATAATAACTATAACGGCTTTTAGATAATCGTGCCGCAGCTGCGTCAGAAGCTAGAGTGTCAAATTCAGCCGTTTTTATCAACAAACGTTTTATAAGGTCTGGAGCAGGGGACTCTGCACATTTTGTTTGCAGGTCAGATATAGCACTAGATAGGATAAGACTTTTTTGTGTGGTTGTTTTTCTAAGATATGCTGAGTAAGCTATTATCTCCCCCCGTAAATACGCCTTACATGTCTCCCAAACTGTTGCTGCAGATACATCTGGAGTAACATTAGAGGCGACAAACAGGTCTAAACGGTCATTCACAGGATCAATGAGTAAAACCGAATTAAAACGCCACGGAGGCCGTGAAGCAGGTCTACCCGGGAGAGAGAGATCCAAGGTGACACGAGAATGGTCTGAGATTACGATGGGATTACAGCAACATGACCAAACTGAGGAGAGCAGTCTGTTATCCAGAAGAAAGAAGTCAATTCTAGAGAAAGTAGAACGCACTGGGGAGAAAAAGGAACATTTTCTGGTGTTAGGGTTGAAATAACGCCAAACGTCTGAGACTGCATATTGCTGCATAAATGTATGTAAAACTTTGGAAGACACTGAATATGACTTGTTGAGGAACGGCCAAGCAAAGGGTCAAGGAAGCAGTTAAAGAATGAGCTGGCTGTTATTCAGACCAGGAAGTGAGAAGAAAATGTTTTTGAAAAAGTCCTCATCATCCCAATTCGGACCATATACGTTTACTATTGCCAAATTGCTACTGCTAATTCTTCCCAGGACAATAATATAACGGCCGTTAGGGTCGGATATGACTTTGGTCACAGAGAGGGGAACAGATTTATGTATTAGAATAGCAACCCCACGTGCCTTGCTATTAAATGATGAATGATGCACCTGGCCAACCCACCCACCACGAAGCCTCAGCTGGTCTGACAGTTTTAAATGTGTTTCCTGTAGGAAAGCAATTCTTGTGTTTAAGTGTTTTAGATGATTAAATACTTTTTTACGCTTTATAGGAGAGTTCAACCCTTTAACATTCCAACTGACAAATCTTAACGAATCCCCTGGTGCCAATGGGGCGTCAGTACTTGGTGTGATAGATATGAAAATGACAGTGAGCTATGAACTGTAGCACATATGGAATGAGTAGCACCAACACATGCAGATAAGGAAGACCCGCAAAATACACATACAAAAAGAGGGAAGAAAAAACAACAATAAAAATAAAAATGGGAGATGGGGTTCTAAGAAGGTATAAAAAGCACAAATGTAGCAGCAGTCCAAGCGTGCGTCTACTCCTCACGCATTCCACCCGCTTATCCCTGTTTTTTATTTTTAACAAGAACAGCGAAGAGGGGAAAGGTCCAACGCTTGGATTATAAGTTAGAGGATGGATCCATCTGTGGCATTTTAAAGCTCAATGATAAAAGAATGAATAAAAGAATAATACAAAAGAAACTTATGAGAAAAATCTGTCCTGCTTGGACTGAGAGGCACAAAGGGAAAGGTAATTTTCATGTTATTAAGATAAAGTGCAGCCGAAAAAAGCTTTGGAGGCTGAAGCCTCTCTGATTTACAAAAGCACAGAGAGCTGAGTCACAACTTTAATTCACATGTTGTGCAGAAATAGTTTAAATTTGAACATTTTTGGCAAAAAAAGGACTATGCAAACTCAAGTTTGCATGAAACTACTCTGAATCAATTAAAAATAGGATTCAGACATGTAAATTAAAATCGAAAAATTTTATGTACTTTAATTTTTAAAAAATTTTATGTACATGTTTTGCAGAAAAAGTTTAATTTTGAAAATTTTTGGCAAAGAAAAGGGCCTTTGAAACAACAGTTAATCATTAAAAGATTTATTCAGACGTGTAAATTAGAATCAAAATTATAAATTACATAAATTTTTAATTAAAATTAAGAATTTTAATTGACATGTTTTGCAGAAAAAGTTTAAATTTGAACATTTTTGGCAAAAAAAGGACTTTGCAAACTGAGGTTTGCATGAAACAACTGAATTATTAAAAACTTTTAAATTTCAGGTTTTCCTAACATCACAGATTCTTGTTATATTATAAAATCTAATATCAAGACACACCTAGAAGTTTTTTAAGAAAATGAAATAATCTCTTTGGAGTGTTGAAAATAATTCACTCAAAATATAAACAAACAAGTTGATTGGTATAATTGATGTGAATTTGCTTGACGATTTCTAAAATGATGAACATTTATTGCTTGTTTCATTGGTTCCTGTGTTAAGTTGACTTAAATTTCAGCTTCTGTATCAAAACAAAACAGTAAATAAATGTTTGCGATAACATGGCAGTAATATATTAACTTTTTGGGTTGAATCTAAACCTCAACCTGATCCATGTTTAATGGAAACATTAATGCAGACGTTTGTGAATTACCTGCCCAGGTGACGTCTGAACTTCCACTGCTTGGATCCACAGCTGCAGATCTCTGATGACGCCTCTCACCGCCTCGCCCGTCACTGCCACACATTCTTCCTTTTTCTGGTTAAAAACTGACCTCAGGCTGGATTTAGGGCACAAAAAGGAGAGAATTCAGCTTTTTTAGACAAAATGTTTTTAGAAATGAATGGAAAGTGAATTTTTATGGAAATGAAAAGACTTTTCTTTTCTTTCTGTCACAGAAATCACTATATCCATGATATAGTGACTCTCTACTAGTAAAAATTAACACATTTAAATTAAGATAATCATAATGTAATGACAATTAAGTCGTATGAGAATAAAGTCACAATATAACAAGAAAAACTAATAAAGCAATAATATTTTGAAAATAGTCGATATTAAAGTTTTAAAGATATTAAAGATTTTATTCTCATGCAACTTTATTCTAGTAACATTATGACTCTCATAATTTTACGACTTTATTTTCATCATTTTATGATTTTAATCTCATAGTTTTATGATTTTATATTCTTAGTGTGACCCTAATACTTCTCTGCCAAACCTATGACATTTTCAGATCAGTCTGTTTTATATATCATTTTACTGAATTTGCACAACAGAATTTGCTTCCATAAATAAATAAATAACACAAGAAGAACGTTGTTGTCTCCATTCTTTCTGCTGAATCAGCCATCCTCTGCTGTCTGTCTCAGTTACAGAGCTGCTTGCAGCTCACATCTGCCTTTATTTGCTGTCATAAACTGAGACGAAGTACCTGAGGAGTTCTTTCCAAACAGCACTGACAGTAAAAATGGCTTCTGCAGGAAGCACTTCCTGCATTTCCCTGGTCCTCTGCAGGCCATTAGCTCTGATATCCAGCTGTGTCAATCTGCTATCCAACTCCTGAGAAGCACACATGTTTATGTTATTGAAAGCAAGCATGCAGTTTTTGACATGTGTTTATTTGGAGATGTAGTGACACTTTGCAGTATCCTTTAATGTTACCTGTACCGAACGCCACTGCTGTGTCAGCTGGAAGACATCTGGCAACACAGACAGCTCCTCCACATTTTTGCCAAGATCTCTTAGATCTGCCTGTAAAAGGGAGGCTTCTCCCTGCAGAGGGATTGCACGCTCTATCGCCCTCTTGTGGTTTTGAAGGTTACTGATTTGCTCTGAAAGGCTGGCTTGGGCTTCTGCTGTGCAGCTGGCTGCGAGGGAATCCCTGAGCGTTACAAGCACTAAAAGCTCCTTTTCAATTTCTGCTACTTGTTTCAGCAAAGCCTGGGAAGCGGATGGAGGAAAAGAGAAATGTGAAACATGATACAGGTGGAAAGAGAATATGCAGAGTCAGCTTTCTTAAAGGGTTTTACCTCCAGAGCTGCTGCATCAGAGGTCAGCCCGCCGGAGCTTTCTGCTCGGGGCTGGCAGGCCGTCATCCTCTGTTGAAGGGTTGTCAGGTGGTGGTGGCAGGTCTGCAGCAGCTGGCCCAACTCTTCCTCATTACTCAAACCTTTCTGCAGGTGGGCGCACAAACCCTGCGGACATTTCAGACCAAGCAACTCAAACTCAGAGGTCCCTGTACTCACGTAAGATTTTAAAATACTGCTTCCGTGTATTTTAAAATCTGGCCTTCCAGGGAATTATTACTAATTAGGATACGCAATCAATCACTTATTATTTAAATAATACATCATCAGACAGAGTAAAATGTAAAAATGAAAACAATTCACCCAGGGCCGGACGATATGGTTGAAAAACATATCACCATCTAAATGTTTCATATCAGTCAATATTGTGTTTATGTTAGTTTTTAGTTTTAAATATATAAAATTTAAAACGGGAAATATATGAGATTTCCTGTTTGATCCCGTTTTCTCTCCACGTTGTTGTTTTTTTTATTTTTAAGACACTATAAGTAACGGTGGCGGAACTTTAAACTGCAGATACTCAACAGGTTGTTGCTAGGTAACCAATGAGTGAGTGAGTGAGTGAGTTGCTAGGCAACCAAGAGTGTTCTGCCAAAAATACTCAATAAGAGTTTGTGTTTTTGGAGTGTAGGGTTCACAATCCCCAAGTTAAAGACGACCGATTTAATTTATTTTATTTCATTAATTAATGTATTACCTATTTAGTTACTTGTTTGATTTTGGATATGTGGTCTGTTATCTTTCCATTCTTAAACAAAATATCTGTGAGGTTGTACAAAAATAAAGACGTTATTTATCAATCTCTAATGCATTTTAACATGAACTCAACTGGCAGTAAAATCCTTTCACCTTCACTTCTGCCGTAAGTCCTGCCCAACGGGTTTCCAACTCATCCCAGGAGGAATCTTTCCAGATGGCGTTCCTGGTTTTCTCAGCCAGCTCCATCCTCTTCTCATCCAGACTGGTTAAGGTTAATTTCAGCGATTCTGATTCAGCCTGCAGCTGCCGGGCGAGAAGGAAGGCCTGCGCTCGCTCGGCCGAGCCCGGCCAGGGGAATAAAGATGGAAGCCGCTCCGCTTGGTGCTTCAGCTCTTCCACTCTGCAGGAAGCCTCCTGCCTGCTGGTCAGGTAGGCGGAGGAGAGCTCCAAATCATCTTCCAGTGCCCTAAAACAACATCACAAAAGCTCCTTAATAAACAGACCAACAAAGAAGGTCAGAATCGGCCCAACGCGAGTTCAGCGGTTGCTTAGGACCACCACACCACCAGGGGGCCCAACAGGGGAGCCCCAAGAGCCCGAAACTTTTATATATATATATATATATATATATATATATATATATAAATATTAGATTGCTATTAAAGGGTTCAAATAAACAGCCATAATTATGTAACCTAATTGCAAATGATGCTAATATGATAGCAGGTATGTTAAACACAGGAATGAAAAATAATCCGGTGTTGACATGTTGGTATGGGTGCCCCAAATGAAAATCTGCCCAAGGCCCCAAAAAGCCCTGGTCCGGCCCTGGAGAAGGTTTGAAAACTGAGACAATCTGAGTTTTTGAGTAGATATTTCTGGCTCTTGTCACCTGGAGTAAGGCTGAACGGATTCCAAAAGGTTCTTCCAGTGTTGTTCTGTTTTCTGAATCTTCACCTGAACGTCTCGTTTCAGGTCTGGAGACAATCTTTGGCTCAGACTCTCTCCAGTAGCTCTGAGCTGCTCCAGACGCGTTTCCGCTCCAGTTGTAGCCTTTAGCACAGCCTGAAACAAAAACAAAATGTTTCACAGACTCAGGGATGAGCAGCGGGACACGTAATCTGTTTATTTAGATTACTGTGTCTGCTCTGTTAAATACATCAACTGGTGATTCCAGTTTGTTCGGTTTATGAGTCGCAGCAACATGATTTCTTCACAACCTGCTTAGAACGAGCTGGACAAACTTTAGACAAATGGAGAAAATGTATCAATAATTTGCTAACTTATTCATACTTCTTTAATTTTTTTCATATTCACATGACAGATCAACTCAAAATAGATGTAATTATGAAATGGAAAAGATACAATTCATATTTTAACATTTTTAAGAGTAAAAACCTGAAAAGTGTGGTGTGCATTTATATCTAGCACCACTTTTCACTGTTTTTAGAAATTTCTTTTAGGGCATATCATTACCAGCATATCTAGAGAAATAGCTCAAGCACAGAGTTTCATTTACGTTTAGGGATAGACTTTGACTAGACCATTCTACCCAGAATGTGTTGTAATCTAGAACACAGTCCAATCTCGAGTCTTTCACAGCTTTCCTATGGCTAACAAAAAGCAGCGTTCCCACAGTATGATGCTCCCACCACCATATTTACAGAAGTGGGGGGAAGGACTTTTGCATCGCTCTGTTCAAGCTGCATAACAGACATTTTTAAAAACACAGTTTAAATGTTTATTTGGCATCAAAAGGTGGAATTTTAATTTGAGGTTCACAAATTGACAAATATTATCATCAGTTATAATTACCTTTGGATAATTAAAGGCTAAATTGTGGGAAACTAATAATAAAATGGTTTGGAAGTTAATTTTATGATGTTTTAGGTTGTTTAAAGATCTTTAAATTACACAAAAATAAGTAATTTTGTTCATTTTTGCTAAATATTGCAAGAATATTTGCATTTGTGTTGGATTGTGTTCCTACCTGAGCATGACGAAGTCTTTGCTCTGCTGAAGTTTTAATTTCTTCACCTCTGTCACTCTGTCTCAGATCATCAAACCAGGACTGGATGGATTCAACCAAACCCTGAAATGCTTCTGAATTGTTACTCAGCCGGGGCGTCGCCTCCTCCGAAACGCCTCCAAGGTTTGTGCAGAAGTTTTGACATTGCTGCAGCAGATCGCAGCTCTGCTGCAGCAGCACGCAGTGCTGCAGGTTACTGCTTCTTAAAGACGATACGAGCTCAGCAATGCGCTCTGATCTCCCTCTGCAACACACAGAACAAACTAATTATTAACTACAAACAGGTCAGTTAGACACTTTATATCACATGTGTCAAACTGGAGGCCCGTGGGCCAAATCTGGCCCGCCATAGCTTTTTCTGTGGCCCTCTAAGTTTTAAGCTAAACACTAAATGTGCTTAAATATTATGTTATCAGCCAAATCAATGCAATTTTTATCCGTTTAATTCTAAATATATCGATAAGTTCCTCCAGTTTCTTGAGAATTATCATGGGAATTCATGCAAAATCAACAAATCCCTGCACTTTTTTCTGCTAAAACATAATTGGGAGTTTACTGCAGATTGAGAAGCTAGATGTTCTTTACAGTGAATAAAAAACATGAGAAACAAATCATGGATGAATAATAATTTATAAACAACACATAGCTTAATGTTTAATGGAAATCCAGGTTTTCCAAACACTGAAAATATCTGGTCATCTAAAACAAATATTTTATTAGAATCCAGAGAAACCCATACTAGTTTATAAATTATGGATTATTTATTCTTATTCTTTTTAAACATGAGGAACCAAAATGTAGTTTTATACTTTTATCTTATGGTTTGTTGTTTTGTTTGCATTTCCTTCTGATTCATGTAAAGGACTTTGTAAAGTTGCCTTGTTGCTGAAAATGTGCTACATAAATAAAATTACCTTACCTAGATATTTACTATAAAGAGTAAAATACAAAAACTAAAAAACTAGGGTATGGAGTAAAGCAAACATATAAATATGTATTTAAGGTAGTTGTATTTAATCAATATTATTGGTTAGAAATTGTGTTTTTATTTTCTTTAAATGAACCATATAACTGACAGAACTGCAGCATACTGCAGAACTTTTATAAAAATGACAAAAGCATTATTTATTTAACATGTTTTATTTAAACAAATATGGCCTTTGGATCAAATTTGTGCAACCTCTGTTGTAATAACTCATAATTTAATTTAATTACCTTTGCTGAATTGCTTCTTCTTGCAGAAAACTCAGATTCTTCGTCTTCAGTGCCTCTTCCTCAGCTGCACAAAGCCACTTCTCCAGTTGCTCTTTCTCCGTTTGCAGCCTGCAGAGGCCACAGGTTTAATGCACAGACTGCACAGTATACAATAGATTAAAGTGATTACAATGAGGGAAAACTTTCCCACATAGAGCAGGACCTACTGCTAAATAAAAACAAGCTAAACTTGCTGCAGCTCTGCTTTTGTCTCCAGTTTAGCCTGTTTTCCTGCCTGACTTTTATTCCCCAGCCTGTGAGTAAAAGGTTTAAGTCTGAACTTCAAGAATAACTCTTTTATAATTAAACAATTAATAGGAATAATCACGATTATGCAATTATTGAAATAATCATCAACTAATTTAGTAATTGTTTAATCAGTAATTGGAGCAGACAGACTCAATTAATGACTAATGAACAACATACATTTTACATTTAATATGAAAAAAAACGTTTGTCTCTGAATATGTTCTACCCCTAATTTAGCTTCACCTGGTTCTATTTAAGCATATTTTGCTATCAAGTTTTTAATCTGTTAATCCAAAATATAATTAACAGACCATCCAACACTATTAAAGCTGAGTCAAGCAGAAAAGTCAAAGTTTTTCATGTTAGAAGTTTTTTTTTTGCAGATGTATTCTTTGCTACAAATGCTCAAGCATTCACTGAATGGATTCTATGTAGTTGCATTTTATGCAATAAAATGTTATTCTCATGTTTTTTTTTTTTAAATAATTGATTTGTTTATTTCTATCTTTTAATGCATTTCTAAGGCTTGAATAAAAAATATGCAGAATGTGGCAGTTTTCTATATGATTAATCTGGTAACTAAATTAACTGAACAGAGTCAGACAAAATCAACAGAATTTCATCGTTACAGCTTTGTTAGAAGAACTAAACAAACCCATTTAAATGACTACATTCCCAGAAGGTGATCTGAATGGAAACGTGAGGTTACCTGTCCAGGTGTTGGACATTCCTCTCGGTTTGTTCCTCCACCTCGGCGAAAAGCTGATGTGTGTTTCTGAGTTTCTCCTCCAGCTGAATCCCTCTGACAGACAGACTCTGGAGGCTGTCCGGGCCGGCGATGGAGGCCAGAACCTGCAGATCCTCCAGTAAACTCTGGGCTTGTTCATCTTCAGTGTGGAGCTGCCGACATAATTCCTGTAGAGCAGCGGTGTCAGACTCATTTTGGGCCAAATCAGGATCATGAACGCTCTTAAAGGGCCGGTTGTGCCAGAATGTATTGATAAAACCTGATCACTAACTGTTAATATATCAATGAATCGTTAAAATTTAAATATAATATTGAACATCTTTTCAGTCCCACCAGGATTTTGTGATTCTTTTTGTGATTTTTCCCACCCAAAAAAATCAAAGTGTCTGTGGTACTAATTTGGAAATGTTAGCTCTTATTTATGGCAGTAAATGTGACTTTTTATTCCTTGCTGTATAGATTATGGACTATAATCTGACATCAATTAAGGCTGAGTCAGCTGTTTAGTACAAGTAAGAAAGTTTTTGACAATTTTAGAGGAAAATCTGTAATAAACTCCTAATTATGTTTTAACCCAAAAAAGTGGGGAAATTTGTTGATTTTGTGTGAATTTCCATGATAATTCTCAAGAGACTGGAGGGACTGATTGATATATTTGGCAGTAAACAGATAAAAACTGCATTGATTTGATTGATAACATGATATTTAAGCTCACTTAGTGTTTAGTCTAGAATCTAGAGGACCACATAAAAAGCTGTGGTGGACCGGATTTGGCCCACTGGCCTTGAGTTTGACACCTGTGCTGTAGAAGATGTTACTATTATAAATGAGCATTTTAGAAACAGTGAAATAGCAAATTTGAGCAAAGCTTAACACGAATCTCCCGTTAAAACTTCCTTGAGAAAGAAGATCTAACTGGAGAAAATTAAATAGTGATCTCATATTTTTGAACACAAATTTCACCATAAATAAGCAACTTTTGACCGAATGAAGGACGCTGGATCCCGAAAAGGAGCAAATTTGTGAAGGAGTTTTTGTTTAACAAGTTAAAACATAATTAGAAACTTAAACCTTTTGTATAGCGCACACAGCGGTAAAACCAGTGGCCCTCAGCTTGGGTTGCTAGGTGACGGGCTGGGATTCTCGAGTTGCTAGGTGACGGGCTGGGATTCTCGGGTTGCTAGGTGACGGGCTGGGATTCTCGGGTTGCTAGGTAACGGGTTGGGCTTCACTGGGGTTACTAGGTCAGGGGCATTTGTTACATTTCAAATGTTTTTAAACCAGCTAATTTCCCAAACACTAAAAAAACATGAACTTCTTCCCAAAAAAACAGGTTGGTGTTTTTTAGAAGCAGCTGAAACCCAATTAAAAGGAAAAAAATGTGTAAAATAATGTGAATTTTAATTAACACTTTAAAGCAGTTACCTTAAGTTTCGCCAGGACTGTTGCAACGTCTGGAGCAGAAAAACTGCGGAGGGAGTCTTGAATCTTCTGCAGGGAGCTGAGAGACTCTGCCATCCTTTCGGTGATTTGTCCCATTGTGGCCACCGTCTGCTTGTACACCTCCTCGCTTTCCAAAAGGAGCTCCTTCAGTTGCTCTATTTTCTTTCTCATCTGGGTCTCTACAACCTTAAAAACAGAAAAAAACTTTCATAAGATTCTACATAGCAACTTTGTTTATGATTAAAGAGTTTAATTTAAAGAGAAATATATTCTAGTGTTCAAAATTTTACAAAATATATTCATATATTTATGAATAAGTGTCAAGCAGAAAATCTGAAGGAACTTTCTGGTTTCAGGTTTGCTACAGAACAAGATTTTCATATTTATACATCCTGAAATTTACACCTTAAACCAAAACTAAGTGAAAGCAAAGCATCGTTGGTGAACCTGCAGCTCCAGAGGGGGCTCTGCACTTTGAAGCAGCGACTGAATCTCTGCAGCCTTCCTGTGGAAACGCCGTGCACTCTCCTCCTGGGTCATAATCTCATTCTGCAGCCAGAGTGAAAGAAGTTAATATCCTTCAAAAAGCCAGCTGGGGAATCGTAACCGGTTCATGTTCCGAAACACAGCAGAGACTCGGTTTTACCTGCAGAGCCTTAATGTGGTCCTCAGTCTGGAAAGACGGACCCTGAGAAAGCGCCGCGGTTCTGCTGTTGGTCCAGCTAACTACCTCCTGCCCCAGCTGCAGGACTCCGTCCCACAACGTCAAGCAAAGATGGAGGTTTTCGAGGTGGGAATCGGTTCTTTCAGACAGCTGCAGAGAGCAAAGAGATTTTATTACAGCAAAGCACAAAACTTTACTGTAAACTATCAAACTTTTAACTTGAATTTATCTGCATGTATGCAGCAAAACAGGGAGAGAAAGTGAAGATGCATTCATAATGAGGTAGAATAACCTAAAATAGCTGGAATTTTATACACTGTAAAACATTTGAGTCACATTTAGTTGTATCTTCAACTCTTTAAGTCAAATAAATTTAGTTAGTTTTAGATTTTGAATCTAAATATGTGAGTTTGTGAACTTTTGTTAACTTTTTATTAATTTAGTCAAACTTCTAAGAGTTTTTAGGTTAGCACTTAAAAAACTGAAAGAAGAAAAAGACAGGAGTGGGAACTATTTCCCAGAATGCTTAGCGGCTTGTTTTTGTATCCTGAGATGTTTCTGAGCTGAATTTAATAAAATTCATTATCAGATCACAAATTTTGTCCATGTAATTTGAAACAAGAATTTAAATTATTCTAAAGTAAAATAAGTATTTATTTTAATTTGATGTTATGAGTGAAATAATAGAGAAATGTGGCTCTTTAACCAGCTGAGGACAGTTTTTTTTTTATTTATGCATATTGTAAAGTAATTATTTGGTTTAAATTGCAGCATTAAGATGTGAAAAGCTGAACTTACGTCCAGCCAGCGGTCCATCAGCGCGTCGGCTTCGTTCTCAAACGGAGAGCCGCTGCAGCCCGGGACCTGACGCAGCAGAGACTGCAGCTGTCTGCAGACGCTGCGGACCTCCTCTATGTCGTCTCCCAGGCCGTTCAGCTCTGCTTTCGTCTCTCCAACCTTCAACAACGCACATAGAAAAAAATTACAAATCTCTCACACTGTACAGTTTAAAGTAACCTAATGTGATAAGCGGAAATATTCTTTCACCTTGAACATTTCCATGCTGTTTCCCTGTTACAACAGAATTCGAGGACGTTCAGTTTTAACAATTTCAGATGAGAGATTAACTAGTACATTTTATCCTTGACCCGTCTGCTGTGTTCCTTGGACTCCATGTTGCTTTCAGTTCACAATGTTCTCTATCCACAGAACAGATGTCCTATGTATAATGACATTAGATAACAACACAAGGGGACTTTTATAACTTCTGAACGTAATTGGTTATTTAGAAACTAGTGGAAGCTTAAATTACGTTTTCTAGGCTCTCATTTGTATTTATTTGTTTATTTGTTGGTCTGAAACCTAAATAAACTGCATTTTGACAGTGGAGGCCACAATTCTGCTAACCTGCTAATAGAGAAGCTAATTTTGCATTTAGCATTTTGCTAACTTTGAAAACATTTAGTGCACTTAGTTTCCCCTAAGTTAATTTTTCCAAAAAATTATTTAGGACAAATTCCAAAGCACTCCTAATTTACTTGGTGGTTAGATGACAAGATGTGAACATAAATACAATATTTAATGTCTAAGAACATCAAAAATATGTCAAAATTAAATTGGTGCTAGAGGATTGTAGTTTTTCAAGATTTAATTTGATTTAAAGTTAGCGCTTTAGCATTAGCTTCTACTAGATACAGTGTGGTAATGCTTTGGCGTTAGCAGAACTAATGTCTACAATAGCGTGGCACAACTAGCCGTAGCTAGCGCTACCCATCACTGCATTTAAATTTCTGGTTTTAACAAGACAAGGTTATGAATTTAACATCCTGCTGTACCTTAGCGTAAAGCCTCTGCAGGTAATCTTTTCCGACGTAGGAGGCTTGTTCAGCTATGGTTGCCTCGGCCGTCTGCAGCGTGCCGCTCAGCTCACCGCGCATGATCTGAAACCTCCTCAGCAGTTCTGTCAGGGCCTGAGCCTGCTCCAGCCTGGGCATGAACACAAACTCTTCACTAACACACATCAATACAGTCAGGGCAACTCAAGACAGAAAATAATAAACAGGAGGAGTACGTTTCCACCAAAGAATAAAAATAAGAAATTCTAGAAAAAAGCAGCTCCACGAGAGAGATCTTCAGAAATTTTGAAATTAATCTCTCAAATCCTGTAGAAAAAAACATGAACATTTCTGAGTTTGAGAAGTCAAAAATTTGCTAGAAAAAAAAAAAACAGAAAAATGTTGCAGCAAATCTAAGACATTTTTCTGGACAAAACAAGGATATTTCTGGGCTCCAAAAGTCCAAATCTTTCTAGAACTAAAAAATCTGACTTTTGAGCTTAATCTCACTTTGAAAAGTCAAATATTTGCTAGAAAACCCCCAGAAAGTTTCAGATAATTTCAAATTTTCTAGAAAAATTACCGTATTTTCCACACTATAAGGCGCACCTAAAAACCTTCAATTTCCTCAAAAGCCGACAGTGTGCCTTATAATCCGGTGCGCCTTATATATGTACCAATATTGAGCCACAACAGGTCTAGCAACTACAGTAAGCAGCCGCCGACTTCATTTTCGTCCGTAGAAGAAGAAACGCGCAGTGCATGCTGGGATAGTTGTCAGAACGCTGGTTTGTTAATAAAGTTTGACTGACCTATCTACCTACCAACTGTCTAGAATCAGGTCGTCTGCAGGTCATTTAGCACCACGTTCTCCACCAACATGCTGTGCGCGAACGGAGAAGGGTGACCTTCATCCGGCCACGCCCCGGCCCAGTCGCAGAAGGCTCTCCTCGCTGACCGGAGTCGGACTGTTTTGTTGACATTCCCTTTTGTGCAGCTCCATCTAGTGGATGCATAACGTAACTCCAGCCTCTACTGTAGCATCTATTCTATGTGGCTTACAATGCGGTGCATTATATATGAAAAAAGTTTTAAAATAGGCCATTCATTGAAGGTGCACCTTATAATCCGGTGTGACTTATAGTGCGGAAAATATAGTAAACATGGAAAAGTCAAAAATTTTCTGGAAAAAAGCTAACCAATTTTGTGATAAAACATAAATTTCCTAGAAAAACAAGGGTATTTCTGGGCTCCAAAAGTCCAAAATTTGCTAGCAAAATACTCATAAGTTTTGAAATTAATCTTAGAAGTTCTGTAGAAAAACAATTAGAAATTCTGCGTTTCAAAGTTTTAAAATGTTTTACTTTTGAAACTCTGAAATTTCCATGATTTTTCTAGAAAATTTCTGAGTATTTTTCTAACAAATTAATCTCAAAATTTGAGTTGTTTTTTTGTTTTTTTTACCTTTTTTTCTGTCTACATTTACCCTGACACACTGTCGTACATCACAGACACACAGCAGCTACATTTAGCTTGAATTTACCGTTCTGATGTGGCTTTCCTCGTCTCCTCCCAGAGATCCTCCACCTCTCTGCTCTGATTCTCTTTGGGAAAATCTGATTCTGAAGACGCATCATGAACGTACCGAACCTCAGAGTCAAGGCCGGCAAGGAAACTCTCCAGCTCCGTCAAAGCCCGCGTCCTGCAGAGGAAGTTCAAGAAACTTCTCACCTAATGTGTTCACTGCAGCTGATATGAGTTACTTGAATTGTCCAGACGCTTGACTGGATAAGAATTATACCAAAAAACTGCACAAATTGGAATTTCAAAAGTAATTTTTATTTTAAAGAATCTATTTTTCATATATTTTGTTAAAGCTGTCACTTTGTTGTGAGAGAGAGAGTCTGTGGAAAAAATAATGAACTCTCGCTCTTCCCTGTGCTGCTATCTGAAGAAATGCGACGCTCCTGGTCAAAACCAACCAATCAGCGCCAGGAGGCGGGTCTTAGCGCTATGAGTCATTCTCGTGTACATGATGCTAAATGTGCTAATGGCAGAGAAAAAGCAGAAAACCATTTATCTACCGTCATCGGTAGCTATGCTAACTAGCATTAGCATCCGTGGGAGACTATGTTGTGTGTAGCAGAGAGCAGCAGATACGTGAGGTGATTGACAGCGCTAAGACCCTCCTCCTTGCTCTGTTTGGTTGTTTCTGAGTGATGGATTTCTCCAGTTTCTACTAGGAGAAGGCAGAGGACCTGGATTTCTCACTGGTTATTGTCGCGACACAATGATAATTTTAACATAAACGTAAACAACATATTTTCTAATAAAAGTTTTTTTGACATGGAAAAAGTTTTGCTAACGTTTGTAGTGAGAAAGCAGCTATTTGTACGTGTTTAACTGCTGTGTGGTTTAAGCTGAATCTCCTCAGAGCCAGGTGAGCGTCGTACCTCTGCTGCAGGGCCGGCAGCGTCGGCTCCAGCAGCTCCAACCTCTCAGCTGCTGCTTTGGTCTCTCTCAGCACTGCCAACAAGGCAGACCTCCTCTGGACCAAACCCTTACGCTCGGTTCCAGCTTTCCCAGCGTGACCGCTCGGGCTTCTTTGCAAGAAACCCTCTTCAGATGCCGATATTTGGATTTTTGGTTCCTGCTTCCTCCGCTTAAACTCCAATGTTGACTCTTCATCTGTCACAACTGGCGCAAATCTCGGTTCCTCCACGTCCTCGCTGCTTTCGGCGCCATTCTTTTCCAGAATATCTAGATTTTTCTCTCCCTCTCGCCTCTTGGCTCTCATTTGATCGGACAGAAAGGCCGCCACATCCCGACACGTCACAGAAGCTCCATCCAGGGTCAGAGTCATCCCCGCTGCCTTTAAGCTGCAGTCAACAACATGGGACTGCGCCATAGCAAGCTTCAACCTCTCCACTGTTGCCTGCCAAGAATGTCTCTCCTTCAGCAGCTCCGTTTCATTTTTACGCTCGTTGGGGTCTCGGTTTGTCAGCAGCGTTGGACTCTCAGCCTTGATGTCTCTCAGGGTGGCCAGGAAGTGATCCAGAGTCTCCACGGCGGATTGAACGCCGTCCAGCTGCCGTCTGAGCTGCTCCAGATGACGAACGTTACCGAGGAGGAGTGACTGGCGCAGGAACGGCTGCGATGTGGCTGCCGGCCCTCGCTGTTCCTCCTCTGAGAGCCTTCTCATCTCATCCTTCAGCGTTTCATCTACCTCCTGGGAAACACATCAAGGGTTAACGCTCATGTTTGCATATCTCAGTCCAGACGCAGACCGGTGGGAAACTGTCGTTTACCTTCAGGTCAGAAAACAGTGAGGATTCATCCAGCGCCAGAGAGGAGACGTCCAAAGGCTGACTGATGATCTGGTTTAGTTTTTCCGTGATTATTGTCGTCTGATCGACTGCAGACTCCATCGGGTCGGAGGTACTTTTCAGGGGAACCATTCTGCTGTACCAGGAATCACAGAAAAAAACTATTCCTTTAGTAAACTGTGTTAATGACGGAAATGTAATTATTCATACTCCACTAAACTTAGTTAAGCGTAGCAGTAGGTCTGTCTCAATAAATCATTAACTGTATGATAAATTACAATAAGCTCAATAATTTCTATTTATCATTTGCCATAGAAAGAGAACATTTGTTCTCTTTCTTACAAAAACTGGAAGATAAAAGTCTTTAGTCTGATGCTTTTTCTTTTTTTTAAGCACAATTTTTGTTTATAGAAACTTCATAATTTATTTTATTTAATGTTTCTGTTGTTTTGTTTATTTAATTATTTTGGATATTTAAAATGTCTTCCAGTTCCAGAGTCAAATGTTCATTAGAACTTAAAGTTGTTGATTTTGAGAATATCATTATGCATTATAATGCCATTACCGCTTTATTACTTGAAAATTATCTCAAAAACAACAATATTATCATTTATCACGATAAGTTCTGGGGCAATTTATCATCCAGCAAAATTTGTTATTGTTACAGGGCTTGTAGACATTTTATATAATTTTCTACCTGCAGCTGTTTGATACTTCTTTGATCAGTGTCATGAAAATGAAACTCTTTCATATGAAAATGAAAAAAGTTCTTACATTATATGTGTGCAATGGAAAAGCTTCTTTTAAGTAAATAATTCATTAATATTGATCAACCATTTCACTCATAATTAGACATTTTTCCACATCATAAGTGAAATAATCTGCCAGTGGAACTAGAATTGGGTTGCTAGGTGACGGGCGGGGCTTGTTGCTAGGTAACAGCACCAGTGGAACTAGAACTTTCCAACAATATTAAGGAATTATTGATTTAAAATAAGCTCCTATATCTGAAATTTTACATGTGCGCTAGTTTTGTCTTATTTCAAGCACTAAGATAGCTGCAGTAGAAACTAGACCAAAAATACTAGGTCAGGTTTTGTGTTTTTCAGTGAATTTAATCTGTACCTTCCTGCTGCGTCCCGTTTAGTGGTGCGCTCCAGCTGCGGTGGCACATCTGGTTCTGGGATGACGGTCCATTCTGCCTCCTGTTTGCTCTCCACAGTGTTGCTCCTAACAACAGCCTGGAAGATGAGAGAGCTGCGAGGTAACAGATCATCAGAGCAGAGAGGAAAAGGTGGAGCGGAGAGCCTATCCGATTAACAAAAGATTAGTGTCCTGTTCGGGTCAAGCATGCCCGGTGGAACTGCTGAGAGTGTTTCTGACTGGGCAGGTTGGTGTAAATATACACATATAATCTATCATTTTTGTATTTTACCAATGAGGACACAAAAGCACACTAACAGATATGAGAATAATCTGAAAGTAAAGCAAAGAAGTCGGAGTTATGACTTGAACCCGGTAGAGAAAACTAAAAACAGCAATGAAACTATGACTGGTATTCAAGTTGAGCTGGAATATTCCTAAGCAGAAAGAAGGAAAACATTTACAAAGGAAATATAGATTATTTTTTTTCATTATTTGAAAGGCTAATGGCTGAAATTGGTAAAGAAAAAATAAAAGAAGCAACAAAATATAAACTAATCAATCAAGTTTATTCATAGCATTAGGTAAAGTCTTACCAAGCAGCAAACTTTACACAATAAATATAAATATAATTAGATGTGGCCAGGTGCTCCATACTTTAAAATGTTAGAAAACATAAAAACAATAAAAATAAAAACATTGACTTAAATACAGTAATTAAATCCATGTTAAATTTAATTTTGGAGCAAAACTGGATTTATACCGCTTACTTTTACATTTATGGATTAAATATCCTTAATTCCTAAAAAATATTTAGGGATTAAAAATATTTGCTTATTAAAAAAATTGAAAAAATAACTTATATTTTAATGTAAGTTAGCATGTGTGAAACACTTAAAACTTTCCATTTATTTCTTTATTTTTTTACATGTGTAAATTTAAAACAAGAAAAAAATAATATTTCAAACATATAATAGGTCTGTTTTGAACTTTAATATTAAAACAAACATCAATCTAACTTTAAAGCTTTATGGGACAAATACTAACTGCTGAACGCAATAAAGCTACAACTTAAAACAAAGACTGTAGGCAAGGTGACTGTAGTTTATGGTAATAATCTACTTAAAGTCTTTCTACAGAAAAAACTTCAAATCATCTTTTAAAATGTAGGTTTTTATTTCATCAGGTATTCAACCTCATGAAGCTCCGGAGCTAAATTACATGAAGAAAACAATTTATTTCATCATACCTGTACATGACTGTGAGCCTGCTGACCGCTCCCTGTGATGTGCAGCAGGTGAGCTTGCAGCAGCTGCTCCTGAGCCCGAAGTGAAGGCTTCTGCTTCTTCTCCCGCCCGTCTCCCTGGCTCTGCCTCAGGTGGTCCTTGTTCCCTGGCGGGACGTCCCAGACTCGCAGCCGCAGGGCGTCGTCGGCTCTTTGAGCGCGCGCTGCCTTTCCTGAGGGCGAGGCGTCTTGTTGCGCCGCGTCCAGGCGGCGCTCCGGAGCGAGACTGCAGCCTGGCTGCGTGTCGGCCGGACTCGGCGGGGGGTTTACCGCAGGCTGCTGTCCCCTGCTGAGATAAGAGACGCTGATGTGGGGGAGGCCGGGGGCAGCCGCAGCTACTCACCCCAACAGACGTTTCATTAAATTTAGAGACTGCAGGGATTAGAGAGATAAAAGTTGGAAATAAAATCTTTTGCATCAGTTAAATCATCAAACGTAACGATTTTTTTTTTTACACAGGTAAACATTCAAGTGGTTAAGCAACACTTTCTAAAGAAAATCTGTTAGAATTTGGCAAAGAGAGAATAATAATTTCAATGTAATGATAAAAATAAAACACACTTAATAACAGAACAACTAACAAAAGCAACAAGCTGATAATGAAAATAAACAAATTTGCACAAAAGCCCGAAATCAACTGAATTCAGGGATGAACAAGATGGCTGAACAACGTATCTCAGCATAATAATTTTATATCAGTTGAAATTGATAATTATTGATTAGGTTTTTGTATTAAATATCTGAAATACTGCCAAACTGGTGGTATTCCTGTTTCACACACAGATTTCACTCCATATCGTTTTTATTTTTAAGCAGTTATGAGGCAGAGAAGCTGAACCTTAAACTGTTGCTGCGCCAGTGACTCAACAGGTTGTTGCTAGGTAACCAAAGAATGAGTGAGTTGCTAGGTAACCAAAGAGTTGAGTGAGTTTGTTGATTCCACTGATCTAGCTTAGCTGGCTGTGAGACATTGAACAGATAAAGCCTTTCCTCTGCCTACATCACCCAGAATGCTGTGCAGCCCTGAATCTGAGTTTACTGAATAGTCTACAAATTGAATACTTTTTTATATTGATATTGTCTACGTATTTATTGCAATATATATTATTATTGATTTGTTTTCCAGCCCTAATCAGAAGAATGAATTCTCAAGTAGAACTAAAGAGTAGCTGTCCAAGAAATTACTCAATTAAAAGTAAAAAAGTGTTTGGTAAAAAAGGTTAATCAGTACTGAGAAGCTGATCAAAACTTTAAGAATTTAATATTCACATCATTAGATGTACCAAAAATATAGTTTTGTGGAAAATCTGGTACTTTAACAATCAACATGAAAATAATTCATACAACTACAAAATAAAATCAGAATAAGAAAAATTGTTCTAAATCAGTTTTTTTCAATATAAAACTTTAACAAAGAATACAAGTGTGTGTGTGTGTGTGTGTGTGTGTGTGTGTGTGTGTGTGTGTGTGTGTGTGTGGTGAATTTTTGGTTAAAACTATAATCAATTAAGTTTCAATCAAGTTTATTTGTACAACACATTTCAGTAAAGTAAAGTGCTTTATGTCGTGAAAACATAGAAAAGTTACGCTCAGTGGGTGGAGTATCCAGAAATTACTGTTTTGTTTTTGCACTAAATGTAGGGTAAACTACACATGCTGTTTCACTATATAGATGTGCGTTATTTTACCTCTTAATTTGAGTTTTCTGCACTTTTCCAGGCTCTGTCTGCTGGTCTGTTGCCGAGCCGGAGGATTTCTCCACTGTCAAAGTCTCACACAGTTCTCTGAGAGATTCAGAGTGTTCCTCGACAGATGCAGCCTCCTGGGTGAGCGCCTAGGAGACAAACTTCTCTTAATAAATATCTTTAAATATCATCAGGTGTTGTGGTAATATTAAACTCCTGTAAGTACCTTGCGGTGCTGTTGCAAGTAACTGTGGTCAGTCTGGTCAGCAGCGTCATGCAGAGCATTAGTAAAAATGTCACAAGCAGTGAATGGCTGCTTTACTTCTCTGATTTTAGACGCCTGGATGGAAATAAAGTCAGCCATTTCTCTGCGCACATCCTGAACGTGACACAAAAAAGGAGACTTGTGTCTGCTATTACGTTAATTAGTTCAATTCACATCAGTTCAAGTATATGTTAACAGTAAGGGCATTAAATTAGAATCATAATAGTTTTACTTATTAAAATAAACATACAATGTACATCCAAACAGATGCCATATCTGTTTTTATAGCTTTTAGGCCAAACTTTTAACTTTCAGTTATATTTAGCATTGATTTTAGGGATGCAAGTTATCGATTAATGAGTTAATTTACAGTTGATTGATCTTATCGATTGACTAACGATTAATTCATAAAACGACCATTTTCTTAAAAACCTGAGTTTTCTCTTGTATCAAGAGGACCGCTGTTCTGGGCAAATTTTTACATAATATGGTGAAAAACCTTAAATTTCAACATTAATTTTTTGTCAACTGTATTAATGCGAACTTCTCACAGAGTTACATTTAGACATATTTCTAAAATAAAAACAGGAACTTCTTTGCTGAATAGAAAAATTAAATATGTGAAAAACATAAGCTCCTCGTTAAATTAAAATTAGAAGCGCTGTCATGGCTGTTCAAGATAGAAATGTTAAAACGTCGCTCCATTAACTCACCACAGCCCTCAAAAATCACCTTTACTTATTTGCATCATGTTTTATTTCATAACGTTACGACTTTCCTATGTTATCCCCTCTGCTTTTTCATTGTCAGATCGTCGCTTTCGTAGCAAATAATTCACTTTTGAACGAGAAGTTGACTGTGGCGCGGTTGAATTAGCCTTATTAAGGTGATAACTTAAAGAACTTGTCGAGTGTTTATATTTTAAAAAATAACCGCATAAAGTTAATTTTACTTCCCACACCGGACTCTGTTTGGACCGTTCATCTTTGCCGTTCCAAGACAGCTCCGCCATCTTTGTTTCTATGTCAACGGCTGCGCCTGAGGATGACCAGCGGCGCCCTCTGTTGGATGGAGGCCGAACTACAATACTAAAATAAGTTTCTGGACGTTACAAAAATAAACTATTAACGTTAAAATAAAAACTAATTTTAATCTAGTAAATCATTAATGAACAAATAATTAATCGTAAGTCAATTATTGTTTGCATCCGTAGTTAGAATCAGTCTTGTATAGACTCTGTCCAGTTCCTGCCGTACCTCCCACTGATTTCGGACTGACTCAGAGAGAAGCATCAAGTCCTGGAACTGAGGCCCAGAACAGAAGGCCCCAAAAGCTTCAGCTGCACCCAGGAACTCATCGAGCATGGCGGGCTGCAGAGTGTTTAGAGCTTTCTGCACAGAAAAACACACAGCTGGACACGCGCACAAACAAAACTGACAGTTGGACAAACCAAAACACCAGACATTTAAAGAATACACTGCAAAAACACAAAATATTACCAAGTATTTTTGATCTAGATCCAAGTAAAAATATCTCAGTGCACTTAAAATTAGACACAAGAAACTTACAAGTAACTTTTCAGAGAGATGTAGGAGCTTTTTGTTAATAAATGAAAAAGTACTTGTTTCACTGGTAAATTATTTCACTTATAAGAAGTACGATTTCAGGAATTATTGACTTAAAACAAGTTCCTACATCTTGCTGAGAAGTTACTTGTAAGTTTGTTTTGACTAGACCAAAATAATTAGTAAGATTTTGTATTTTTGCAGTGTATGTCCTCATAGTGTTACTCTAATTTTAAATATAATTTCAGCTGCATGTGGCAACACAAATAAGCTTTTTCCAGCATTTGCAGCAATAAGCAACAAGTTGAAGTAGGCAGAAGTAGTGAGTTGTCAAAAAGTACAAAGTTCTTGCTGAATTTGGTGGAATTCTGCGGAAATTCAATGTATTTCAATTTGGCTGAAATCTACATTAAATCTTAAATATTTAAAAAAGTAGAATAGCACAAATGACCAAAAGTCATAGGGCACAATAAAATCTGAAATGTATTAAATAAGCTGCATTTGATTGATCATGAACCTGTTTTTTCTTGGTTTGTGACTCGGTCATCTCTCTGCCACTGAACAGCTTCATGGCTTGCTGGATGCGTCCCTGCAGACGAAGCCTGGCCTTCTCCAGTCGGCTCCTGGCCATCGACTGGGCTTTGCAGTGAACCTCACTGTGGATCATGAGTGGCGGCTGTGTGTGTGTTGGTCCCTGTTGGGTGTTTGGTTGTGACGCTGTTCTGGACTTGATCTCTGTCGATCCTGCTGCAGGACTCTCGGTTTGACTCTGCAGGACCGGAACCATCACAGGTTGAGGGACTGTTTTCATTTTTACGTGGGACGCAGAGCCCTTCCTGTCTTCTGTGCTTTGTTTTGAATCCTGGCGACGTCTCGCCCCCTGATCAGGAAGCTGAATCAGTTCTGGAGTTTGCAGTTTAACATCTATAACCTGTTTGGTTCTGGCCAGAATGTATGATCCAGTGTCTGGATGGAGGATTTCAACTGGTTGCATCCATTCGCAGAAATTTCCAACTTGCTGCTTGAAACCACAGGAACTAAACTTTTCAAGTATCTCCTACACAAATAAAAAAATATGTTATTCCAAATTACTGACATGCAGTAACTAATTAAGTTTTATTCATTCAGTAGGAATGAATGGATTAATCGTCAACTAATGTAATTATCAAGTATACAGATTTTAAAAATAGCTCAACTGCAGAACAGGTCATTTAAAGCAGTAATTAAAACAAACTGTACAAGAAACACTTGAAGATTTTTTGCGTAGAACTGATTTTTTTATCCTAAATGTATCGTTTTAGCTTCAACTGGTTCAAATTCTGTACAGTAAATCTCCTATTAAACACCCTTTGTTATCCAATTACTAATCATTTAATCCAAAAATTAATCAGCACATGATTCCAAGATTGTATTGATATTAAGTTACGCAGAAAAGCTGATGTATTTCTTCAGTAAAATATTGCTTGACTTAAATTATTTGTTTATTTGCATCTTCTAATGAATTTCTGATGTTGCAAAAGAAAAATCTGGAGAATATGCCTTTTTTTTAAATCCGATTGTCAGAATAATCCATAAATTAATCCATAATTAAAATGATTTGTCGTGATTTCTTTAGGTAGATGAGGTGAAACATGGCTGAAGTAGTAAAAAATGTTTTAATGCTGTCAGAAATCTGTTACAAGTCCAAGACACAAAGGGAGACACACGATGTAGCAGGTAAGTGACGCAAAATGACTGAAGGATCCAGCAGAGAAAAAAAAAACACACAGGTGAGATTAGAAAAGAGACAGGTGGAAACAATTAAAGGTGGACAACACGACACAAGAAGACAAAATAACCAAAATACATACACAATAAACCATAATGATTAGATAACAGTTAGTTGCAGCCCTATTGAGCTGAACTTGCCTGGCTTTGGGAGATTGCAGCTGCAGTCTTGTCCTGCATGTCAGCGGTACTGAAAGTCTGCAAAGGAGAAGTTTTCTGTCGTTCTGCAACAAAAGCTTCCAGATGCTGCGACTCTGCAGTCACCTGCTGTGCCAGCTGCAACCCTCGAGAGATCAACACCTAAAAGATGCATCAAAGTAGATGGTTTCAAACAAATCCAGAGCACATACTGTATATCTGTCCAAAACGGTTTAAGAAGATGTTTTTGTGGTTGCTAACTTTGGCAGCAGACTGTCCTCCTCTGTGTTTCCTTTCCATCAGCTGATCATAACAGTCCAGGGCTTCGCTGCTCCAGTGATCGAGCTCAGCCACACGCCCCTCGAGTTGGGACGCCGCTCTCTGCAGATCCCCACAGCACCGTTCTGCCTCAGCAAGCTGCTGCGAAGACGAAAGAGATTAAAAGTCCAGCTTCTTATTAACAGAATGCTGCATCAGTGATCACACCAATAAAATCTGTCCACCGTTTGTCAACCTGCAACCGAAAATAAGAATTTTAGGAGGAAAAAAAAAAATTCTAAAGCGTGGCGTGAATTTCTAAACGGCTCTCTTTTAAGCTAAAAAAAAACAAAACACTTTGGACTTTTACTGACAATTCTTTTTTTTCTTTTTTTTTCCACAGAATCAGTATGTTTATGCTGTTTATGCAGCACCAGGCATTATTTTCATATACTAGCATCATAATTCACACATATAGTGTTTTATTTTAACTAACAATACTATAGATGTGAAGTTTGTCAACATTTGTTTATTCTTTGAATTTATTTTGTTTAAGTTGTTTCTCCTGACATTTATCAGTGTATTAAGTTCCGGTAAGTTCTGGGCAGTTGGCGGTTACCATAGCAACCAGTAACCAACAGCAACTCCCTCCTTTTTCCTGGTACTGTTTGTAACTGTGCTACATTGTAGGATCAGCTCTGTGTTTTCTTTACAAATATATTTTAACTTAACTGTATGACATGTAACTAAAGCCATATAGTGTCTAATGAGGGATTGTACAATGTGTTGTATTTGTTTTAGCTGTTATCATTATTAATGTTGTCCATTTTAGCTGGGTTTAATTCTACAACCGCTAACTGCCGCTAACTGCTCATTGGGAGCAGTTAGCGGCCCAAACCTCTGTAGGTTTTGGGTTATTTATTATATTTTATTTAATGTTTAGAGGCAGAAGCCATTGGACTGATGTTAACCACCAACATTATTTCCTCTTTTGTTAGAATAAATCTGGTCCGTAATGAAGTCAACCTACTAGACCTGAGACAAACTTAGAAGGGTTATACATATTCAGATTTTGTCATTGATTGACACAGAATTGGAGTTCTGACTTTAAAGTGGTTGCAAGGTGACACCATGTGCAATAAATCATAGAAGGAGTACAAATACTTTTGCAAGATATTTCATCGTATTAGCTTTCGATGAAGCTATAAGGAAGGACTGAGTTCTGCACTTTACCTCTATGAGTGTTTGCTGAAGGTTTTCTCTTTGGCCCATTTGAAGGTCTGCAGAAGGGACGTTGGCTGATGCATCCACCTCTCCAATCTTTGTTCTAATGGACTGACAAGGAGAGAAAAGAGAGAAATAATACAGCAGACCTGAAATAAATATTTAAACACTGAATGCGTTTTTACATTTTTTGTACAAAATCATTCTTAGATAATAAGATTTTAGTCTGGTCAGTTCTGCATATTTTGAGCTCTTTACAGAATTAGCTGTTTTAGAGTATTTTGTTTAAATCCAAATTGGCCACACCCACCAACTCATCGTTTACGCTTGCACATTAAAATGGCTGAAAAAAGATGTGCAATTATACAACTGTATATCTTTGAAAAGCATTAACAGAGCCTCCTGCACAACCAGCAAGGATGCACCAAGTGGTTTCTGGATGGTAAGTCAACAAAAAAACAATTGTCTTTTCTAGCAGCCATTGTACAGTGCATACAGTGGTAAAAACAGCTGACCAAACTTGCTGGAGCTCCACTAAGGTTGCTAGGAAGTAGAGTGGGCTTCACTGGGTTGCTAGGTAACAGGCAGTGCCTAGCAACCTGGAAGGTTTTTGAAACTGTTCATTTCCCAGACACCAAAAAACACCTGGGTGATTTTTCTTAAGAGCTTGGTTTGTTTTTAAAAGCAGCTGAGACTGAAAATGGAGGTAAAAACAAACAAAATGTGAATTTAGCATTACACATCCTTTCTGAAAAATCAGCCTTTTATTTGTCTAACATTAGCTCACCTGTAGTTTTTGTCTGACGGCCTTTAGAGGGACTGAAGCTACATCCAGAGGCTGCCTCAGGAGCAAACTTGCCTCCTGTGTTAGTGAATTCAACATCAGAGCAGAAGAGGGACCAACTTTAGGTTCTGATTCTATTTCCTATAGAAAGAAAACACATTTATGTCATTCCTCATTTGTACTGTTTAATAATTTGTAGTACACCTTGAGCCAAAACTTGCTTACAAACACAGTCTTCTTCATGCGTTCGGCCCACTGCAGGTTGACTTTGCTGAGCTGCTTCACCAAACTGGAGCTGATTGAAGCTTCTGTCATTTCAATTAGGAAGTTTCCCGCCTCATTCAACCGAGCATGACATGAACTCCATTCGCTCATATCCTACAACGCCCAACGTTTAGAAAAAGTGAACCAAAAGCCAATTTGATGGATTTTTATTCCAATTACAGATTTCCAGGATGATCTAGCTGAGCTTACCTGTGTCTCTGCAGCTGAAGTTTGCATCAGCCATGTCTCAAGAGCAGTGAGGTTCTTGTTGCACACGTCCCATGCAGACACAATTCTGTCCATCATTTCTTTAGCAGCCGCTGTCATCTGTTTGACCAGCTCTGATTCGCTTTCTGCTTCCTTCACCTGACGAATGACACGCTGCGAATCTCCACCTGGGAAATAAAGTGTGTGGAAATAAAGCATTACGTCTTAAAGATGGATATAACACTCTGCAATGAATTCATGATAATGGGTTTAAGTACACATACAGCCATATTAAATAAAATAGAACATGCTGATGAGGCTTGTTTGTGAGATTAAAAGTACCATTTGCAAAAGGATGCGCAATTATATAATCGTACAGCTTTGAAAAGCAGAAGTGGAGCCTCCTGCACAACCAACATGAATGCAGCAAGTTGTTTCTGAATAGTAAGCCTACAACAAAACACTTGTCTTTTCCAGCAGCCATTGTACAGCACATACAGCAGTAAAACCAGCTGACCAAACATGCTGGAGCTCTACCTGGGTTGCTTGGTAACGGCATGGGAAGTTTTTGAAACCGTTTGTTTTCCAAACACCAAAAAAAAAAAACTTATTACCAAAAAACAACTAGTTTTTTTTTTTAAGCGCTCGAGTTGCCTTAGAAGCAGGGGGAAGTACCAAAACATGCAAAATGAGAATCTTGAATAATAGGTCCCCTTTAAATGTCATGTTTTTGTCAACAGTAAATGTAAAATCATCATAATTAATAAAAATAAAAGCTTGGAAACACTGGTCTGTAACTAATTTACACACTTTTGTAACTGTTGGCACCTCTGAGTAAACGTCTAGTTCATACCCAGAGAAGCTTTGCTGGTGTAAACATCCATCCTGTCCTTCAGGCTTTGCAGAGCATCAGTCAGAATCAGGAGCAACCCTCGGTGCTCCACGGTTTCCTGGAAAAACATCAAACAGGACAATAAAACTGTCTTGTTTTCAGAAACAGAGATTTGCTGTAATAATAATAATAAATATTAGACGAAATGTTACTTGCTGCTTTTCAGAAGTGAACTCACATGCCAGTCAAGCAGAAGAACCTGAACGGACTGCTGGGATCCGTACGGAGGTCCCCAGGACCGGACCTTTGCCTTGACGTCTCCCAGGAGATCCAGGACCGTGTGATGAGATTCCTCTAATTCCAGCTTTATTATTTCGTACTTTGCGGTGACTCGGACGCCAGTCAAACTGGTTTTTAAAATTAGGAAAATGTAACAAATTAATGATGAATTCTGCTACGTCGTCCGGTGAAAGTCTAAAAGTTATTTCACACACCGGGTCTTTATGTCGTCCAGCTTTTCTGAAGGCACCGCTGGACTCCCTGAATCATCAACACTGTGGAACGAGTCGGCGAGCGTCACATAATGATTCATCTCCTTGATCAACGTCTGAAAAACAGAATCAGCTAATTTAGTACATTTTCCAGAATGTATCAGTTTCTGCTGCTTTAAAATGAAGCTACCTTTAGCTGGTCTTGTTTTGCTCTTGCATGTTTGGCGGCCTCTGCATGACCTTCTGTCGTCTCTGCCTCGTCTTTCAGCGCCGCCTCTCCTCTCTGCAGCCACGACACGACCGAGTCCAGAGGAGGAGGAAGACTCCGTTCCAGTTCGGCTTCACACCGCCGCAGCTGAACAACGACAGACTCTGTAACAACTTTTCTCAACACATACACTCTGTTATCAGCGTTAAGTATTAACACAGAAATAAANTAGGGCCACTTAAAATTTTTTTTACTTTAATCTCAAAATTCTGATTTGTTTTTTTCCCCAGAATTCTGACTTTTTTCTAACAATTGTGACTTTAAATTCAGGATTCTAATATTTTTTCCTCTGATTTTTTATTTTATTTTTATAAATTAGAATTTTTTTTGAGTTTTTTCTCAGAATTCCTTTTTTTTCAGAATTCTGACTTTTTTCTCAGAATTCTCTATCTTGTCATCTGAATTCTGACTTTTTTCTAACAATTGTAACTACAGTCTCAGAATTCAGATGTTTTTTCTCAAAAATTCAGATTTTTTTAAAATTCTGGCAGAATTTCTAACAATTTCTAACAATTGTGACCTTACAATCAGAATTCTGACTTTTTTTGTAATTTTAGAATTCAGATTTTTTTCCTCAGAATTCTGATTTTTAAAAATTGTGACAGAATTCTGACTTTTTTTCCCGCAGGATCAGAATTGTTACATTGATTATGCATGATCTAGTCTTAAAACTCAGAACATTTTCCACAGGTTTTCAATGTGGATACAGTGCAGGTTTACAAATCGTATGAGAAGAAAGAAACATTTATGTGATTATTTTCCTCTAGTAACAACAACGACATAAACCGAAGAATGTTTGGTTATTTATTTAGATTTTGACACAGAATTTGAATTTTGACTTTAGTCTCAGAATTCTGAGGAAAACGTCAGAATGGGAAAAGGACGTTACACAACACTAACTGACTGACTGTAAAACTCTGATAAAATATGCTTCAGTTACATTTATTTTCAGTAGATTGTTAGGATTCTTATTTCTACAGACGTACTGGTGGTAATATTTGCACCAGTGATAATTATGTTAAAAATATTTATTTCTTAGCATGTTTTTCCCAACGACAAACTGAAACACTCAAATCAATTTTTCTCCATTTTTCAGTTTGGAATAATATTCCCAGCCACTTCCAGTAGCGATTTTAAAGGCTTAATGGAGGAGCATTGTTGAGATGACTTCCTGAAGTGTCAGAAAGAGCAGGAGCTTCTTAAAGAGACAGACGCTCAATTTCAAGGCTTTAAATTTCTTTTGGGATATGTTTAACATGTAGCATTTTCATAACAGCTGATGCTAACATAGTTTCTTAATTGTGATAAAAAATGGCACTATGTATGAAAAATGCATAATACTTCCCTTTCTAAGAAAAATCTAAGACTCTAAAGCGAAAAACTTAATTTAATTAGCAAAGTGAAGCTGTAGTGGCGCTACAGGAGCTTTTTATCATCCTACCTCGTCCTCCAGCTGATCCCACGCCGTCCTCAGAGCTTCCTGTTCTTGGTTTAGTTCTGAGCGACGTCTTGCTGCTGCAAGGAGCTTCATAACGGATCGTCTCTGATCAGCAAAGGAAGCAGTGAGGCTCTCGTACACCTGAAAGAAAACCAGTTACTATATATAGAATATAAAATTAAAACATTTTAGAAGCTTTGGTGCCTTACCTGATATTTTTCTGCATAATTTGATCCCTCTGCAGCTGTCCATGTTTCTGAAAGCTCCTGACAGGCCTGCTGCAGCCAACGAGTCGCGTCCTGCACTCGCTCGCTGGGTGACGCCTGCAATTTTATACCGAGAATGACAGCGTTTCTGCTGCAAATACAGCTGAATAACAAAGATTTTCTGACAAAATAAACCCAACATCGCCTGTGTTTTGTTTGAGAATACATCCAAATAACAGACAAATGCAGAGGAAAAGATGTACCGGGTGTGAAGGTGTGAAAGCAGCTGCTGGAGTGACATGAGCATGCAAACACTCAGGGGAGAAACCTGAAGGCTGCTCCAAAGGAAACAGCTGCACCACCACCAGTTCAGAGAAAGACAGAGGGAAGAGAAGATGAGCTGAAAGGTGGGAGGTTCAAAGCGGAGAGAAAGAACTGAACACTTCCTTAAAATTTACCAACTAATCATGCAGGACAGCCATTATTTAACTAACTTAATCTGTTCTGATTGGCTACAAAAAGAAAATCATCAAAATTCTCTCCTAGCACCAATCAGATTACTGGACATTTCTTAATAATTCAGGATATTTAATGAGTAAAATGACAAAACAGGGCAAAACCACAAACTCCAAATCTAAAGTAATTTTCTTTTAATTCAATAAGGTGGACAAGCTGACTGAGAGAGGCTCTAATGTTAACCTGCAGGTGATCATCAGGCGCTGGCAGATCGTTGGAGTACTGCAGAAACTGGGTCACATACGTCATAATGGACTTCTCATCCGGATCTCTAACGTCAACATCTGGAAAGATCCATCGCCATGAATGTAACTTGGCTGCTTTAATGCATTGTTTTTGAAATGCAAAGAAATTAGGAACCGGATATGCAAATAAAAACATATAAAATTAAAAACATTTAAATCACAGAAATAAACCATGTAATAACTGCCTATTAACCAACTTCCTGCAATTTAGTGGCTAATTAGGCCACAATAAATTACTTTTTATTATTACAAAATACTTATTTATGACACCATGTCACAGCCATTGAGGAGAGAAAAAAAAGTTGTAAATATCCACAAAAAACTGAGATTCATCTCAGAAATTTTTGAAAAACTTTGAAAAGTCAAAAATTTGGTAGAAAACAAAAAAATTCTGACATTTTTAGCTTGATATCAGAATTTAAAACAACAATAAAAAAAAAACCTTATCTGAAATATCTGAGTTTTGCCAAGTCAAAAATACACAAGAAAAAAATTTGAAATTTTGAGATTAAGCTAAAAATTTTTTTAGAAAACTTGGAAATAAAGTGAATTTTTTTCTAGGAAAAAATCAGAAATTTTGAGATTAATTTCAGAAAATAATAAAAAACAGCTTTGCTATTTTGGAGATTTTTTTTCTAGAATATTTCTAGGAAGTTTACTCAATTTTTTCCCCATTTATGGCCGTAATACCAAATACTATAGTATTTATATACTGTAGTCATATGAATTAACCAGTTTTATTCAGAAAACACTCTATTTAAGTTTTGGCTTATTTTTTTTTTTTTTCTTGTGAGAACTTTAATCAACTTTGGTGTTTTTAAACTGCTATATTGATGAAATTCACATAGAATTAATCAGGTATTTTAGTTCTAGTAGTTCCACTGGTACATTTTAAATCTTGTAATGTGGGAAAAAGTACTTTTTATCAATATTAGGAAATTATTAACTTAAAACAAACTTCTATATATGTTGCTGAAAAGTTACTTTTAAGTTAGTTTTGCCTTATTTCAAGTGAACTAATATATTTTCATTAGAAGCTACATAAAAATACTTGGTAAGTTTTGTGTTTTTGCAGTGTAGTTAATTTTTTAATGTGTTATTATAGCATGGCTGATGCAGCCGTACCTTGGGGCTCCAGGAGGCGAGGAATGTGGAGTTCCCTCTCAGCCAGGTGAAAAGCTTCCTCCAGGTTCTCCTGGTTGCTTCGGGTCTGGACCCGGCACAGATCCACCAGTTCTGGTCGGAGTGAGCACAGGATGGCCAGGAAGGCCTCCCCACTTCTCCAGCTGGACTTAAAGTCTTTCACGTTGACAGTGCAGTGAACCCTGTGCAGAATCACAGCCGTAAATCAGTTTTTCACAATTTTGTGATTGTGGAAATTCACCCAAAATCAACAGGCACCCGCAATTTTGAGTTATTGCATATTTGTTTTGCCAAAGTAGCCAAATCCATTTGGTTTAAGTGACTTTTAACTCTGTCCTGAAGGAGCCAGCATTTCTTACTTCCTCTACAGGGCCGGCACAAGCCTTTTTGGGGCCCGAAGCAACATAAAATAAAAGTGTGTGTCTGTGTTAGACCTACTTTTTGCATTGGTCTCTGACCCACATGAGCAGGGCCTTTTTGGCAGAAACACGGAAGCGCCTGTGCAGAGGTGATACCCGCCCAGCAGGGACCAGACTGGCCGGGACCGGGCTGCCGGACCAGGAGTCCAGGCTCGACACAGAGTCCAGGGAGGAATGACGGGAGCTAAAGGACAACGCACTGGCCAACTCCTCAATCTGAAACATGTCAAGTTGGAAAAAAGCCTTGAAACCAATGAATAAATGGCATAAAATGATAAAATATATTTAAAAGAGTCTGGCGTTTTGCTCACGTGGCAGCGGAGGATGATGGTCCAAACAAGGCCAAGGATGATGGATGGACGTCCGTCTGTGATGTCTGGGATGTTTATGTTCACCAGCTTGATCTAAACGCAAAACGATTCTACTTAGCATGACGGTTATCCTTAACTTTTATTTGTTTTACCTTAAATTGAAGTTTATGTGGCTGAAATCTGTTTGGCTCACTTTGGTCATATCATGCATAGATTAGCATTTTCATGTCAGCAGATACCAGAAATGCTCTTTTTGTTGTCATTAGCATTTTTTTTATTTTAAATACATGAGATGTTAGCAAAGTGGCTAACCTCAACCTCTAGTGCCATTGGCAGGTCAATGTTTATCATATTTAACAATAGTAATTTTAAAAAGCAACTCCAGTTTACTGCACAAAAAAAACTCTTAATAAAAGAGGAAAGTGAGTAATTAAACAGTTGATTACAATTTATAGTGTATGATAGTTTAATAATTTTGACTTTTAATTGATTAGTTGAATATAGTTAGCATAAATATGCTAAAAAGGGAGTTATATACAGCAGAGTTTCCCCCAGCGTATTATAAGCCTGGCGGGCCACCAGGCTTTTCTTGTGCCCTCACCAGGCTAAGCATTGCTATTTATTTTAGTCTTCTTAAAATGTTTGCATTTTTAAAAATTTTATAGTTGGTGTTCAGGTATTAATCTTCCAATCTTTCAATAACACATCATTATCAAGTGATACTTTCAAATTTCCTGTCACCTTTAAACATTTTTAACTCAAAAACATGACCTAGCAACCAACCACTGGCCTTAGCAAGTTTTCTGGGGGAAACCTTGTACAGTTATGCTATGCTAAGCTAAGATTAGCACTAACCCTAAGCCATAATAATGAACAAATCTATTTCACATGCTAAAAAAGATCCACGTCTCATTCTTTTACAATTTTAAATTAACATATTACATGTTGACATAAACAAATGTTTTGAATTAAAAGGAGCAGCGTGACGAAAATAAATCTTATGTAGTCTACCCCTGCTTTTGTTTGGGTAAATAATTATTCAAATTTTGGCCCACTGTTCATTGAATTTTAAAACTGCAGTGCATTTAAAAGAAATTACAATTTTACTGTATGACCTTTCTACAGTTCACCCCCTGCTTGGCCACCTGAAAGAAAAAAGTCTAGACACGCCCCTGCACATCTGTTCTGCTACCGCCCTCAATCACTTCTTTGAATTGTTGTGTTCCAATGTTTTTGTGAAATTAAATTTGAATAAACTTACAGATTTTTTCTTGAGAAAGTCCAGAGCCGTTTCAACATTGGCCCTCTGCTGGAAAACTCCTCGACCTCTTTGTCTTTTCTGGAAAAACAAATGAGCAGCTTTAGCTTCTTTTAGCGTTAGCTCTGAACTCATGTTGTATTTTGGAGGCGTTTGGAGTCATTCCTCACCATCGACTGACCGCTCATCACTTCCAGCAGGTCCAGAAGCCGTGATCCATCTCTGAGGTCCGAAAATAAGTCCGACACGTAGGAGGGTGAACGTCTCTGAAAGGGTTAAATAAAAACATACTGGTCCAGTAAGGGCAGTGAACCTTTAGCTTACACTGTAAAACATTTAAGGTGGTTTAAGTTGAAAATGAAAATTCACCTGCTGCCTTGAAAATGCAATTTAAGTCAACAAGAAAATAGTTTATCATTTTGGCTCACTTGGTGAAAAGTTTGGACACCCTTGGTTTAACTAAAAAACTAAAATATCTAAAATTACATTGTCACTCACATTGTTCTTAAAATACAGCTAAAATGTAAATTATTTTAAAGTATGTTTTGATGCGTTATTTTAGCTTTTTAAAGATTCTGAAAAATGAATATAGAAGAACCAACTTAATTGAATTGCTTCAATTGGAAAGTTTATCCAACTTAACTTATTAAGTTGAACAAAATGAATTTATTGAGTTGGTTCAACTTAATAAATTTGGTTGGTTAAACTTAATTGAATTACTTGTTACCTATTGAAGCAATTCAGTTAAGTTGGTTCAACTAATTTCCTTTTAGAGTGTTGGAGAACAGAAACTGATTTGAGAGAAAGTGAAAGCATAACTTTCAACGTGAAGGGCACCAAAACCCTAAAACATAAATATTTCCTAGTTCTTTTGCCTGACCTCAGCTGACAGAAACAGCTTCCAGGTTCTGGACCTCTGCAGGTCAGGAGCTCAGTCAGTGTTGCATGTAGTTATGAAGGGTCTGGGCTCACATTACGTCCCGTTCTGCTCCACTGGAGCTCTATTAATACTCCCGTTCCATGTCAGCAGCTCGGCGTCTCCGTCCAAAGGGAGTCGGCACGAGGTGCTTCACTGATCTCTGACCGGTGAGTCAGCGAGCCGAGCTCCAAACGCTGCTTTGTTCAGCTTAGCAACGGCGAGGAGACATGCACTGGTTTGTTCTGACACGGGACGTCATGCTCCACATTAACAAACAGGCTGTTTTTTAAAATCCAAACGCAGAAAAGAGCAACGGATTGCAGAGAGAAAATGTATTTTAGGATTCGAGTGTGACACAAACTCTGCAGATTTCTCTTGGAAACGTTTTTTGTGATCTTGACACAGAAAAATAATCACGATTTTCCAACAAACCTTGGCAAGCTGAGCGTTTATCCAGTTGGTAAATGTCCTTTTCTGGATCTGTTCATGCTCCACTGTTAAAAAAAGAGAAAATTATTCATATGTTTTATGATTTCTGGCATAATATGATCTGATCGATACGCTCATGTGCTGAGATTTCCAGTTCTGCAAAACCAACAATATCTACTAAAAATCCTTAACCAAACATCCTACTTTATGCCTCATTGCAAATTTGTGAGTTTCTTCAACACTCGTGGCACAAAAATGATCAAACCTGAGTAAAATCAAGAGTTTAAAGTGATAAACTGGACTGTTGATGTGGATTAAATCAGTACAAGCACACCAATCACTCACCTATGTCTGAGAAATGGACCTTTCTAAACTCCATGTTTTTAATCTTTAGCTAATTTTGCCCATGAATGATGACTAAAAAATAAAACAATCCATTTAAAACTGTTTAAATTGTTTCTTCTTCTTCCTTCCCTCTGGTGCAGCTGGAGAGCGTTTGGCTTCCTCATTAGACTAAAGTAAATGTAAGAAGCAGGATCTGCCTGCAGGACGGGATCGCCTCCAAGACGGAGACACACACACACACACACACACACACACACACACGCACACACACACTCTGTCACTAAGCACACACTGCAGACCAAAACACACTGCAGCTCAAATTAAACATTAGATGTTTCTGGACTCCTACATCAATCTAATTTCACCTTTTTCAGAAAAACTTGAGCTTTCTGTCCACAAACTTGCTGTTGTTCATAAAAATGCGCCTGAATCTGATCGCGTTTGCAGTTTTTCCGTTTGTTTTGGAGCCTGCCAAGGCAGATTCCGCTAATTGCTCGACTCCACCCTGTTCACATAGCATTTGAAGAGCAAACAATAGGAGAGGCGGCTCTTGTTTAATACGTTTCTCTGTGTGAAAACGAAGTCTGTAAATGAGCAACTAGACATGCTAAGGCACGTTCACTTTAAACTCTTTGCATCTGATTTATTTTTAATTTTTATGATATTATAGTTTGTTTGAGTTTAAAACCATCAAACATTTTTTGGTGAAATCCTCTAGAAAGAGAGTGACTGTTTCTATAAGCTTAACCCCACATCATCACTCCTCCACCGCCGTGATTTATTTAGCTGTGAGGTTTTTATTAAAAAAAAAAAAA